AAAAAAAAAAAAAAAAAAAAAAAAAAAAAAAAATACCTTAGCCCATTATTTTTCATTTGTTAAATAATTCAGGTTTCTATTTTTTAGCTTAAGACTATTTACTTTGTTTATACTTAATTCTAACTATAGATTCACTACAAATCTTATGATTACAAGCATTGATCCAGATACCAACCTCTTTTTTAATGACTTAAATGAAATCAAACAGTTACTGTAATTACTACACTGCAGAACAATCAAAGGCACTTCTCAGTGCCAACAACAACAATAACTATCTTTAACTACATATCAGATCTTTAAGCAAGCATTACGATGACCTCATAGCATTACTAAATTCCTTACATGCCAATATGTCCATCATTACACTAACTGAAACCTGGGTAAAGCCTGATACTACAGATGTCTATACCATTCCTGGTTACACAGCCCTACACAAAATGTAGGCCAGACCAACAAGGGGGTGGCACAGCCATAAACTACTCAGGAAACCCAAATAGAATGTATCACTAATACTTGCACAAGAGATGAACTGGGGAATATATAATAGCCCCAAAATTTAAATCCAAATACCTACAAAAACTCTCACATTGATAAACATCTACAGATTCCACAGTCAAACATTAGCCAATTTAGTCAAAACCTAGGAAGTATGATAACTGATGCACGCATGAACAAAGATCACTTATACTCTCAGGTGACTTCAATTATAAATCTCCTGCAAGACCAGGGCCCCCACGTTACTGAATTCACAAACACAAAGAGTACTGTATGTTGCTACCAACAGTAACAAAACCTACAAGAGTTACAGAGAGACGTGTTTCCCCACTTGACCCCATCTGGACCAACACCATATCCCCTTTAAAATCAGGCATAATTACAGATAATACCACAACCACTACCCTACTTTTCCCCATAACAATCTTGGTAAATTACCCCAAGACACTACAAAGTCACCTTCAGACTTCACAATGAGGCAGCCATTAATAACTTCACAAAAGCATTAGCAAACATTGATTGGCCCCACTGAGCTAGAAATCAATACAGATATTGACGAAAGTATTAATAATTTTCTAAAAAAGACCAATACCTCTATAACAAGCACTGCCCTAAAAAAAATAAGCAATGACAGCTAAGAGACTGAACAGTCCCTGGCTAACACCCAGCATTCTCAAATCCATAAATACAAAACACCAATATGAAAAACAGTACAGAATGGGTCACATAACCGAGACCAAAAAAAACGTTTCTCGTCAATCCTAACCACCTGATAAAAGGGCAAAAAAATTGTATTATGAGAACAGATTATCCAACTTACGAGGTGATATAAAAAAAAACCTGGAAAACCCTATCAGAAATTTTTGGAACAAAAAAGATATCACGAATAGCGAAATAAAATTAGCAAAATCAGATGACCCAACTCCCCCAACAGAAACAGCAAACAGACTCAATGATTTCTTCTCCCTATAGGACAAAACCTTGCCAATAAAATCCCAAGCTCAGATACCCCACCAAATGACTACCTCACCGGCAATACCCCAAACACACTGTTCCTAGCTCCGACTAACCCATACGAAGCTCCTTATTATCAACGCACTAAAAAACAAAAGGGAGGAGATTTAAATACCTTACCACCCTTTATATACAAAAAAGTGTCACAAGTGCTATCACCAATCATTGCAAAAACTCTTTAACAAATCCATTGAATCCTCCACCTTCCTACCAGTACCAAAATAGCAAGGGTCACCCCCATCCCCCAAAGGAGGAGACCAAAAAAGAGTTGAATAACTATAGGCCAATATCCAACTTACACCCTCTCTCAAAAATCTCGAAAAATTAATTCATAAACGAATCTAAATCCTACCTTATCTCCAAAACATACTCAACCCTGCCAATTTGGATTCAGGCCTAATAAAAAATACTAATGATGCTATTATACACATGCTAGAACATATATACACTGCAATAGAGAAAAAAGAAGTCCCACTGGGGGTCTTCATTGACTTACTAAAACTTTTGATACAGTTGACCATGACTTCTCCCCGTAAATTATCACACTATGGGATAAGAGGGCACTCCCTCAACTACCTCAAGTCATACCTCAGCAACAGAAGCCAATATGTGTACCAAATGGGGCAAACTCTTCTGCACAAACCCAATTTACAGTTGGTGTCCCACAGGGAAGTTCCTTGGCCCTCTTCTCTTTCTCCTATACATAAATGACCCTACCAAATGCTTCTCAATTTCTCAAACCCACACTATTTGCTGATGACACAACATACGTCTTCTCCCACCCGAGCCCAGTCACGCTAAACCAATACTGTAAATACCGAATTACAGAAATATCTACCCGGGGAGTACTAACAAACTTACACTAAACATTGACAAAACCTACTTCATTCAGTTGGTAACAGAGCTACAATGTCCCTCTTAACATAATGAAAACGGATCACCTATCACCCAAAACTAACAGAGGGAAAAATTCTTAGGAATCCACCTTGATATTTGACTCAAATTTCATACACATATACAACAAATTTTTTAAGAAAATTTCCAAGACGTAGGCATACTATCGAAGATACGGTACTATGTCCACAGTCAGCCCTCCTGGCCCTATATCCTCTCTTATTTACCCCTATCTCCTATGGGAAATTTTTGCATGGGGGTCAACAAAAAAGTAACCATCTCAGACCACTAATTACCCAACAAAAGGCTGCAGTTAGAATATAACAAATTCTCACTACAGCACAAAACTCCACCAATATTCAATACACTCAACCTACTCACCATACAAAACCCATACTTATTACGCCCTATTACATACATAGAACACTCAACTCTGATATTAACCCTCCCCCCAAACATCTCCTTGCCAACCTCAACAGAACACATGACCATAACACAAGGCACAGATCACTCTTTGATATCCTCGTTCCCCTCTCAACGCTAATGCAAAACTCAATGCACATAAAGGCCAAAACTGGGAATTCATTACCTGTTTAAAATAAAAGAAACCTACCTGTTATAAATTCAAGTCTCTTCTCAAGATCCCCTACTCACCCAAAACCAAATAAATACTGAATAACTGAACCTATAAATTGTATATCTTAAATGTTTTCTCACAATTATACACATAAATGTTTAAAACCTAAAACCCAATCTAACTTTATTATTTTTTAAATTCACTACCTAACAGAATACTCCATTCTACGAATTTTCAACAATGCATGCAACCATATGACCTGTCTTTGTAATACTCACTTGTGCTTTATAGTAATCAGTTTACATTAATGTTTTTCACTGATTTCATCATTGCTTAGTTAATCTTAAGTTAATTTTAAGCCAGCCCGTAATGCTATGCATAGTATAAGTGGCTTTGGCATGCTGCTCTTATCTGTATTTTTTTTTGTACCTCTGTAAGTGTGCTCAAATTATAAATAAATAAATAAATAAATAAATAAATATCCCCAGAAAAAGTGTGTTGTGTGTGCTTACACTAAACAGCGACTCCAAGTGTGAAAGGACACATGATACGTGTGTCAGCAATGTGGGGTGGCACTCTGTATGAATCCATGCTTCTTAGAGTATCATACAGTGGTGGACTTCTAGAAGCCTAAATGGGACTTGTAAATACCTTGTATATATATGTAAACAATAGTATGTGATTGAACCAGGTGTACAAATTCATTTATCAGTGTGAACATGTGTGTTTGTGACAGTATGATTACTAATTCAGTACCAAACATTTGTGTCTCAACAAGAATTGACTATGAAATCCAGAGATCTGCAACAAAACATTATTATCATAACATGAAAACAACAAAAAATAGAAAAGCATTGGAAAAAAAAAAACGATAAATGTTTATTATTTCTGCAAGTGGCAGTGCTCCATGTTGCCGACACCTCATCATGTAGCACCAATATCGTGGGCTTATATCTCGGTAAGTACTGGTCCTAAATTTTTTTTATCCTATAGCATTTATAAAAATGCGCTCTTCAGTTTAAAAAAAAATATTTTTCAAAATATTGGAGTGCTGAGCAGGTGAATGTAGATCTACGTTTGGACAGTTTAAAGGTTAAGTTAATTTTACAAAGTTTTGTATAAAATTGTGCCACAATTTTTCAATAGTGCAATAACCAAAACGAGCCAAATAAATCCATGTAATATAAGGGTCTATTCTATATAAAACATGAAATAACTTTAAAACGCTTGAAATTTTGGAAAGAAAGTTTCCAGACACAATGGAGAGACACAGTGCTCACAGAGCTCATGGAGAATGTAAACAAACCGTGGGGCACAGTGGCCGTATTAGCGGAACACCGTAAAGCGGGGCCCTACTGTATACACAGATTAAATATAAATGTCAAATATAGCTAATGCAACTAGTTTATGCACATTGCCATCAGCACTCGCACTCATACACTTATTGTCCTGACTGTATTTTTATTCCCATTAATCACTATAACAAAAATTAACAATACAGTTTTTGTATTACTATCTCTTCGTATTACTGTTGCAGTTTTAATGTTCTGCATATAGTTGTTATTTGAAAATATCATTACATTTAAAAATCATGTACAATGATATGCCCTTGTAGTCTTAAGTTAGGCTTAAACTTGCCTGAAATGCTCTGCATAACTGTGTCCTTTCAACATGCTCTCAAGTGTATATATCATGTTGAAATAAACCTGTATTATAAAATCTAAAACAATCTTACATTAACTATAAAACTGCATAATGTCACATAGTATTATGTTCTTGTTTACTCGAAATGCCCTGCATAACCAGGGGCTTTCCATAGTGTACAAAATATATCTTTCCAAATTTTTGTAACAATTATGTATACTTTGAAAATAAAATTCTTTAATAAAAGTGGTAGGGAAATGTTTAATGTGGGGAAATAGAGGTTATTCTGAGTTGTATTCCCCAATAAGTTCATCATAACCTGAACACACAAGCAAACTAATACTTTGCTTAAAATATAAAAGAACTGGTAACATACCTGCTTAATTCTTCTTTATCACCTGTTGTTTTGCCAAGACCTTTTCGTTTTTCTCTGTGTGCTTCCTCTGTTCTTCGTTTTATATCATCAACTTGCTTATCGTGTAAAGTTTGTAAGGTCTTTAATTGAGCTCCTTGAGACATTTTCATGGCCTTATCTAAAGCAGAGTATATCTGAAAGATGATATATTTGTGTGCATTGTATACTGCACATATGCATCATTTAATTCATGAATCCTCTTAATCATGATTCATGACTTTGTATTACAGTAAAAAAGTATACAAAGAAAATAAAGCAGTGAGAGAGGCTGTTTATAGAAGTAAATATGTTTGCTTTTCTTTTATACTTGTTTGCTAACATTTTTAAAAGATTTGAATTAAGAATCATATGAAGAGTTCAGTGAACCACATTAGAAACACTTATCTACTGTATCTCAATTTCACCAGTAAATGGAATTATCTAAAACAAGATCTTAGGTCAGTCTGTCCCATTCTGCCTTCTGTTTTCTCATAGTCCCACATTTCTTTTACTGTTGGAGCTGGCTTCTAGATGGGTCAGAAGACCAGTCGCACCATCCTAAATTGCTAGAGCTGAAATATTTAGGTGGCAGACAATGTGGTTCACTGGACCTGTTGCAGAAAGTTGTTTACATGCTGTACTTAAAAATTTTGTATTCAGTGTTTGTGCTTGATGAACCATGGAAAACATACAAAGAAGGATGATAAAGTTGATCCCATGTATTAGAAATCTTCCCTGTGAGGACAGACTGAGGGCCCTGAATCTGCACTCTCTAGAAAGGCATAAAATTAGGGGGTATATGATTGAGGTGTATAAATGGAAAATAGGAATAAATAAAGGGAATGTAAATAGCATGCTAAAAATATCTAGCCAAGACAGGACTCGAAGCAATGGTTTTAAGTTGTAAAAATTCAGATTCAGGAAGGATATAGGAAAGCACTGGTTTGGTAATAGAGTTGTGGATGAGTGGAACAAACTCTCAAGTACCTTCGTAGAAACTAAGACATTGTGAAGTTTTAAAAATAGGTTGGATAAATACATGAGTGGGTGTGGGTGGGTGTGAGCAAGCTGGATCTGACTAGCTTGTGCTAATAGGTCTGATGCCATGCTCCTTAAGTGGATGTGATCTGACCTGACTAGGTGGGTGATTGGTTTAAGTCAGGAGGTGACTTGGACCTGCCTTGCATGGGCCAGTAGGCCTGCTGCAGTGTTCCTTCTTTCTTATGTTCTTACGTTAGGAATTCTATGACCAGCAACCTTAAGTTCTGTATAATATCCTGTTGCTTTATTCTTTATATAACTTGATAAAGTCCACTGTATGGGAGAAAAGTTTGTAATGGATGCCTTTGTATCAGGTGTTTTTCAGCCAAACTGTCCTAGGGCCATCACAACCCTTCTACAGATGTTCTAGTTGAGGGTTTTAAGAGCCACTGACAGGTTTCACCGTACTGAGCCTTGCTTCCCGATGAGAGTAGGCATGATGGCCCCCTAGAACAGATTGGTGCAGGTGAAACCTTCATTATGAGAAAACAATGCTTCAACCAGTGTCCAATGAAAGAAATGGGAACAGGAACTCCTTGTAAACAGAAGCAGGAACAAAAAATTACCGATTAAATCAGGTGGATCTCCTTGCCTAAGCCCCAGCGGAGTTGTAACCCTGCAACCCAACAATATACATAGGCCAAACTACTGAACTGTCCAATTTACTTAGATTAAACCTGATTACCCTCAGGTGCTGCATGACTCTTAAGGTTTTAAGCACTTTCCATGAATATACAGTATAATAATAGTTATTCCTAATAGTGAATGCTTTACCCATAACCTGTGCCTCAACTGCCACCAGTTTCAAGAGCTTTACCCCTAGTCTTGCCTAAAGCCAAGCTTCCTCAATGATCACCCAGTTAATCAAGCTGTTTGTTCCAGCAGCCCTAAGACCCACATAATCAACACAAGCTGATCTAACACTGATAACAGGTAGCCATCCAGCTTCTTAAAAACTTCTATCTTTGGTCTGGCAATATTTGATGTCTGCTGACAGCATGTTGAAGAATCTTGAACCATGGATGTTAAAACAGTGTTCTCTTATTTTACCCATAGCCCCTCTGCTCTTCACTTCGTTTATTTCACACTTTCTCCCATATCTTTCACTCCAGTAAGTTGTTAAAGTAGTGTGCAGACTAGGGACCATTTCCTTGAGTACCTTCCATGTGTATAATATCAGGTATATCTCTCTTCTCAGTTCCAGAAAGAATAATCCAAATTTGAACCTACTTCACTTAAATAGAAAGCCAAGTGTTTGTTATATCCAGATGACTATTAAATTTACTTAGTGTAGTAAAGCCTTGTGTTGTCCAAGAAAATGCTCTGTATCTAGTCAGATGTTCAACTATTTGTGGTGTAGGAGTTTTGTTAACACTTGCAGTGTTTAACAGAAATTTTACATTCTCCTCCTCCTCTGAACTGGATGTGGAAGATTGGTGATAAACCCTATGGGTATATACCTGGGACCATCACCTATGGGGTGAAAATAGGTTATTTAGGGTTGACACTAATAGCAAAACATGGTCAGTGACTCATGAACCCACTATAGAAGCCTACCTTTTGTGCCTTACTATCAATCCTTCCATAATCATCTTCCATATTTATGATAGACTTGTCTTATTACTGCTACACGGTGAACAAGTTACACTACTACAGACAAATGGTATGCTATGAACACAACGTGAGTCTATCTTTCCTCTAGTCTGGAAAAGCACTTTGGTCTACTGCAAACCATAATACTGCATATGGTACAAACCCATGTAATGACTATGACAGGAGGGCCCAGCATGTTCAGCACCTTCTTATCAGTGTTCTATGCTTTCAACTGAGCCACTGTTCATTATGTTCGGTCTTTTTACTGCCTTTCTGCCATTTTTGTAGAACAGTTGAGTATGGGAAAGGTGACTATATTTTATGTACTGTGAATTTATTTTACTTTTTATCTCTTTTTTAGGCCTAGCTATATTGATAATATAATAAATGATAGTGTAAACGCATTATCGGGCATTTTAGATGCATTTGTTAATGAAAAAACTGCTCTTTTCCACCTGCTTCCAATTTCTGCTTACCATACAGGCTTGGAAACTTAAGAGCCATACAAGCTGGGCCCTCCTGTATTTAGTTTGAGGGTGAACCCTACAGAAAATGAAAGATAAAAGGAAACAATGATCTAAAAGTGGTAGGAAAGTCCATTTACTGATGAAACTGATATAGAGATGTTTACTATTCCTAACAGTTCATGGAACTTAAGCACAAAAATAAAAATAAAGTTGTTCATTTATTTAAACTTTCACAATGGCCACCATCTTCAATATTAGGACTTAATGGGGACAGGGAAACTCCTTGTAAATTCTGTATTTTTATTCATGTTCAGCACTAAACTCCTGCTGGTCATTCAGGACAAGGAGTGTTGGAGGTTCAATCCTCTATCTGCTAATCACTCTACCTAACTGTACTCACCTAGCTGAAATAAAACTTAGTGAAGTGAACTTTACAAAGTTCATTTCACAACTTGGATATTTTTTTCCCCTTGTATATTAATACAATTCACATAAGCCATAAAAATGGCTTATGTGAATCCTATTAAATCATATACCAGACCAGACTACATGGTTCCAGAGATCACCATGCAGTCTGGCGTTTAACAAGGCCTCATCAAATGAAAAAAGAAAATATAATACAGAAATAATGAATATTAAGAGACACAGGAAATGCATTTCATACTAGCGGCTTTCTTTTTGTGTCTACTAATGTTTTATTACATGCAGACTACACTAGTTTTGTACTGCATAAAAAGAAATAAAAATTTGAATTTGGCATTTCAAAAATAACAATTAAGAAATACAGTGGACCCCCGGATATAGGCCGGTGCAGAAATCGGCCAATTCGGAAAGTGAGCACTTTTTTCAGCAAAATTCTCCCCCCGGATATTGGCCATCCACTCGGGAATCATTGGTATGAGACGCGTCCACCCGCTGGCAACGTGCTTCTTCACACATATCACACTCAGTCTGTGCGTCTCTCCCATTGGGGTAGGAATACTCCGCTCATTCATCCATTGTTTTTCATGCTTGTTTATTGATTGTAACTGTGAAATAAGCCACCATGGGGCCAAAGAAAGTTCAGAGTGCCAGCCCTTTGGCAAAGAAGGAGAGAAACACAACAGAATTCAAGAAAGAAGTTATCGCAAAATATGAAAGTGGCATACGTGTGGCAGAGCTGGCCAGGATGTATGGGAAATCTACATCAACAATCAGTTCCATTCTGTTGAAGAGAGCAGAAATCAAGGAAGCTGATGTTGTGAAAGGTGTAAATATGCTAACGAAACAGAGGTCTCAAACACGAGTGGATCAACCAAAAACAATTAGCAGAAGATAGTGTTTCGGAGGGGATAATTTGTGAGAAGGCAAGGCAGTTGCATGTGGATCTCAGAGAAAATGCTGGGAATGAGTGCTGCTGTTAGTGAATTTAACCCGTTAACTGTCCAAACGTAGATCTACGTTCTTACCGCTAGCGCTCCAAACGTATATCTACGTTTTATTTTTCCTGCCTCCAAATTTGGCATGATTGGCCTGAGATGCCTGGTCAACATAGAATGGGTCTTAACACTCGGTGTGCACAGTATTAAAAAAATCTGGGACCACTTAGTACCTTGTGGGAGCACCAGTTCAATTGAGCGCCAGCTAGAGCAAATAGTGCAGCAAACACCAAGGATTCACTGACATCATGTCGTATTAACACTCCCCTCTTAAGAGGAAAGAGGTGTTGACCCCAAGTTTAGTGGCTCTGAGTTAGATGTGGCCACAAGTGGTCGCAGAAATATCAAAAACCTTGATAATAACCCATGTGCAACACCCTTTCAATTATGGTACCACTGGTAGTGTCATCCTGCCAGAATGTCTTATAACTTATGCCTTAAGTAAAAAGAAACAATTCTGGAATGTGTAATACATGTTCAGCAGGCTGGCTGATTGGCTGTCTCTATCTCCTTCTGTCTGTCTGTATCTATCTCTGTCTGTCTCTATCTATCTCTGTCTCTATCTCACAGGTACACATACGTAAATACAATTATACATAGTGTAAGTTACCTAGGATAACCCCCAAAAATCCAGACAAAGTGCTATACTATGTAGATAATATAATGCAAAATAAGCATGACTGGCAACTGGCAAGTAATACACATTTTCACTTGTTCAGGAATCAGATGTGATTGATCGTATTTAATACCAGCTGGTTCACGAGCAGCTCTCTCAGACTAGAGAGACAAGCAGACAGAAAGACTGACACACACAGGCAGACAAAGACAGACACACAGGCAGACAGATAAAAAGATATTGCTAGACAGACAGACAAGACATATTTATGTGTAACAGTGAAAACAAATAAAGCCAGGGTTCCATGCAGAAGTGCAAGATCATCAAGTGTCACTCCACTGCTTACCCTGTCAGCAGCTTAGTAATACTCATCTTAACACCATCCTTCAAAGAGTTTCATATATACTCCAGCATGTCTAAAACATTGCTGGGACCTATAAATATTTTGTATATGTTCCTAGACAATAGTAAATGACCAAGGCAAGTGTAAATGTTGACCTGTCAATGTGTTTGTGACAGTTTGAGTACAATTTCAGTACCTAATATTAGTGTCACAACAAATATTGGCTATGAAATCACGAACTACTATAAATTGTAATTTTCAGAACATAAAAATTATATAAAATAATATAAAAACGAGAAAAAAAGGTATATCAGCAACACTTCTGCAAGCAACAGGATTCCATGGTGCCGTCAGGTGATCATCAAGTGTCAACATCATGGGCTCATATCTCGGTAAGTACTGACCCTAAATTTTTTTTTTATTCTGTGTCACGTAGAAAAATGCACTTTTTTTTTTTTTTTTTTTTTCAAAATATTCGGAGCAGTTGGTGAGAGAACATAGATCTACGTTTGGACAGTTAATGGGTTAAGGCCAGTAAAGGCTGGTTTGACAGATTCAAGAAGTGTAGTGACGTACACAGTGTTGTAAGGCATGGTGAGGCTGCAAGTTCAGACAAACATGCGGCTGAAGAATTCGTGCATGAATTACATAGAGGCTGAAGGATTCCTCCCCAACAAGTGTTCAATTGTAACAAAACAGGTCTCTTTTGGAAGAAAATGCCAGAGGACCTACATCATGCAGGAGGAAAAGGCACTGCCAGGACACAAGCCTATGAAGGATGAACTAACTCTCTTGTTCTGAGGTAACACTAGTGGGGATTTCAATGTGAAGCCTTTACTTGTGTATCACTCTGAAAATCCCAGTGTTCAAGAAAAACAATGTCATGAAGAGTAAATTGTGTGATGTGGAGGGCTAACAATAAGGCATGGGTCACAAGGGTAATTTTCATTGAGTTGGTGAATAAAGTGTTTGGCCCGAGTGTGAAGAAATACCTCCTGGACAATAAATTGCCACTTAAGTGCCTCTTGGTAATGGACAATGCTCCTACTCATCCTCCAGACTTGTTTGAGGAGTGTAAGTTCATCACATTGAAGTTCTTGCCCCCAAATACCCCTCCTCTCATCCAGCCCATGGACCAGCAGATCATTTCAAACTTCAAAAAACTGTACACCAAAGCAATGTTTCAAAGGTGACCTCAGACACTGAACTGACCCTAAGAGAGTTCTGGAGGAATCACTTAAATGTTCTCCATTGCATAAGCCTTATAGATAAGGCTTGGCAGGGAATGACTTCCAGGACTTTGAACACTGCTTGGAGAAAATTGTGGCCAGAATGTATCCTCGACAAGGATTTTGAAGGGTTTGAGGCTGACCCTGATGACCTTATGCCTATTGTGGAATCTACTGTTTCATTGGGAAAGTCCATGGGGTTGGATGTGGAAGAGTTGGTGGAGGACCACAGGGAAGAGCTAACCACTGAAGAGCTGCAACACCTTCAATAGGAACAGCAACAGACTGCAGCTGAGTATGTATATTGCTTCAGAGGAGGAAGAGAGGGCAAAGAATGTGCCTTCTTCACTGATTAAGGACATGTGTACAAAGTGGAGTGAGGTTCAAAGTTTTGCAGAGAATTATCACCCTGACAAAACTGCTGCAAGCAGTGTCTGCAACATGTTCAATGACAATGTCTTGTCCCATTTTAGGCAAATTTTACAGAGATGCCAGAAACAGGCCTCTCTGGACAGATTTTTGGTGTGACAAGGGTACAGTGACACTCAAGCTGGTCCTAGTGCCAGTAAAAAACAAAGAAGGGAAGTAACCCCAGAGAGGGACTTGATACCTGAAGTCCTTATGGAGGGGGATTCCCCTTCCAAACAATAAGCTCTCCTCCCTCTCCCTTCCTTGCCTTCTTCCATATACTACCAACAAGAGTCTTCAATGAAGGTACATAATGTTTATTTATTATTAAAATTACTGCTTTATATTTCTTTCTCGTTGTTTTCTGTATGTAAAACTATAGGTATTCTTTAAAAAATGTATTTTTTAATATTTTTGGGTGTCTGGAAGGGATTAATTGGATTTACATTATTTCTTATGGGAAATATTACTTTGGTTTTCGGCGATTTCAGATTTAGATCAACCTTCTGGAATGGATTACAGCCAATAACCAAGGGTCCACTGTATTTAATGAAATTTGGATACAGTCATACCTTAGCTTGAAACACCTGGCTGCTGCCTCTTGTGTTCATTCTGGGAGCACAAGAACTGACCCTTCATGGATTTTCATAAAAAAGGAGCCACAATACTGTGGCTGGAACAATTAATAAAAAATCTGCACTTTGGAGAGGAACCTTGTGACGATATTTGTTCGGAGAGGAACACTATGACAACATTCATTTAGTTGTGACTTGACAATGGTCCAGGACAGACCAAAACATCATCATACAGTTCCTCTCCTAAGTACAGGTCCTTGGTGAATGAATTTTTAAGCTGTTCATTCTTGTATTGTGCTCACCTGACTTGTATGTTAATTAAGAAGGGGCAAGGTGTTATATGACTCTGTACCCTAATATATTCTTTGTTATATTAATTTTTGTTTGCTGATGTGTCATTAAGCAGAGGATGCCTGGTCTGTAATCTATTTAATTTAGTGATTAATATTTACATTCACTATTGACTGCTAGTGTAATGTAAAATTAACCCTTTGAGGGTGCAGATCCCCAATCTGAAAATTCCCCATAGGGTCCAAGAATTAAAAAAAAAAAAAATCTTATGAAGTGGGAGAGTATCTTCTTCTGAAGGTAAAACAAAAAGTACGAAATTTGATCAAAGATCAATGAAATTATGCTCTCGCGAATTTTGCTGTCAGCGATATTTACGCATTGGCAATTTTGCCCACTATGAGTCCTATTTTCGGCCTAATTCTTAGCTGTTTCACTAGTATGTATTCCTTTTTATCTACTGAGCACAGGAAATCTCCCAATCAACTATTTCAACAACCCAATAAAGTGATCGGAAATTGGTAATTTGGCCAATTTCACACAAAGTTCAAAATATTCCAATTTCAAAATAGGGTCCAGAATAAACAATGCAGGCATTCCTGGCACTAAAATAACATTTCCTCTGTTCATTAGTTATGTTTTCAGCCTTTACAGATGAATTTCATTTTTATTTTTTATTCACAAAGAATTCTTATTCGCACCAAAAAATAGTAGATTTACTGTTATGCAATACTGTAATATAATTGTATAAATAATATCAGTGCATTCATTAATGCACATCAGACCCACCAGCTGACATGTATTGGATGTGTAATGTGATTTGTTTTTTCTTGAACATCAGGCAAAAATCAAACATTACTGCTACTTTGAGCTCAAGTTCAAGCTATTTTCAGTACTAAAACCAATGAAAATCATCTCTATTTCAGCAATATATCTTCCATTCTATCAAATGAGATCAAGAAACCATGAATCTTTCTTTCAACACACCGGCCGTATCTCACCGAAGCGGGGTGGCCCAAAAGGAAAAACGAAAGCTTCTCCTTTTACATTTAGTAATATATACAGGAGAAGGGGGTTACTAGCCCCTTGCTCCCAGCATTTTAGTCGCCTCTTACAACACGCATGGCTTACGGAGGAAGAATTCTGTTCCACTTCCCCATGGAGAGAAGCCATGAATACAATCATAAAAACCACACAAAAATACACCACAAGGTCACTGTTTTAATTAAAAAAACAGTGCTGTGTGCTGCTGCAGGATTTGTTTTATATGGTGCACACTTACCACACAGATGCATTTTCTCAAATCTAGGCCCAAATTTACTGCTCAGTTTATTTGAATGAGCTGAGCTCATGACGTAGTACTACAGCTTGGACCCTGGCTTCAAAGCCGTAGAACTATGGGACGGACCCTCAAAGGGTTAAAGACACAGGGAGGCATGGTCTAACATACATAACTCCACCACATGGGAATATGTCTCCAAAGTTGTGAAATTCTGACCCCTCTTATGGTTATTTTTGGTTGGCAAACTGATTTACGGAAAATTCATCAAATACTCACTGGTTCGTGATATTTCTCTTGAAGTTTCTTTTCAGCCAAGAGAATTGCTTGGCCAAGTTCATTAAGACTCGCCTGATAGGACTTCTCCAGCTCTTGTAAGCGTGCTTCTAGTTCCTCTTGCATTGAACCAAGCTCCTGGGTGCTCTCTCTCTTAACAGTTCCTGTTGGTTCACTGTTTAATAGTTTTGTATCAGTAATAAAGAATACATTGATCATTACCATGAATTTATGTTTCCACATATGTGGAAGAATGTAAATCAAGAGACAACTTGGACATAGGCAGGGTATAAAAGGGGCAGACTGTTTGATAGGAATTGGACCAAAACAAGGGACACAGATGGAAGCTTAAAGGTTAAAATACCAGTTAGGATTTACCCTCTTGTCAATTTTCACATACAGTAAGTATATCAAGGTCAAAAGGGACAGTTAATTGCTTTTAAAACTACTACAGGGTCTATATACAGCAATCAACTAATAAAAAGACTTGTTAAAAATGAAGGATAAATAAATAGGCATATAAATTCTAAGAAAATATTCCCCACAACTATTAAAAAAACTTTTGTAATGTGAAAAAGACTGCATGAATCAACAAGAGAGTTTAAAATAGTCATAAATGGAGTACTGATATAGCAAAAAGAGTTCCATTAAGAAACCATGAGAGTCACTAAACACATTTATAATAAAAATTTAGTAAGTACACAATATCTGGTATCAATAGTGGTTGAAATAAACATTAACAATGCTACTGGCAGGGCTTGTACCAGAATTTCTATACTGGGGGGCTTTGGGGGTAACTTCTGGTTGGAGGAGGAGCTAAGAAATGTTTTGAAGTACAGTGGTACCTCAGGATATGAACAGCTCCCAACTCGAACAATTATGTAAGAGTATTTTGTAAGTGCTTTTGTAAGTGTATTTTTGGGGGTCTGAAATTAATTAATCTAATTTACATTATTCCTTTTGGGAATAAATTCGTTCAGCCTTCTGGAATGAAATAATTTCATAATCTCGAGGTACCACTGTACTCGTGTTATCAATATTACTGTTTTTATTTTGGAGGGATGAGGGAATTTTTTTTAGGAGGGCTGAAACCCTCAAGCCCCTCCATGGTGCCACCACCAGCTCTCAGCAGTTTAAAATATCCAAAAGTTTTGTTGTGTACTGTCCTGACTTCAGTTTAGTAGTATAAAGGAATCCAGCTCAAGACAGATTATTGGATAAAGAACAAGTACGTGCCAAGAAATACTCATTATTATATGGAAGAACTAGCCAAAACAAGAATTTCATCACTGCATGCAAATTGAGTGTTGTGAAAAATTCAGTTGGTCAGAAATTCCCAAAGTAGATGATTGGGCTAAGATTCCGGATAGAAATTGGCCAAATGGTATGGTGAATTTAGATGATAAAAAATCAGTACATGTACTGGGAATTTTCATTAAAACATAAGGCATCACCCCAAATAAAGGAAGGATGATAATTAGGTTAGTAATGTGTAAGAATTTTTTCAACTTAAAAATTATGTAAATAATGTATTATAATTTTAATGAAATTACTTTTTGCAGTTACTGTTAAGGCTCATAAACATTTCATTAGAAAATCAATGAGCTAGTTACAAGTTTAGATTTTGGCATATTGCCGAAACAAGAATTAAGAAGTTACTAAGTAGTAGAAATCACAGATGTAGCAACAACTATACTACCCAGTATACTTTTCAGCATGTATACCAGACCTACCACTTTCAACAAAGTACAGAAGACTTTATTTGAATAAGCCAAGCAGTGTGGGTTATTTCTACTGGGGTCCTTTTTTAGGTCCTCCCTAGGTTGTGGGACTACTGTACGTATGCATAGTCAAGGCATTTATTGAAGGAGACATTCCATCACTGATGGTTTTTTTTTATTCTGAGAAAGAGACTGCAAAAAACACAGTATATATATCAGGAAGGTGTAAGGTACTAAGGGTACATTTCCAACAAGTGACCTCACCACTTGTTGGAAATGTAGTGGACAGGACTTTGTACTGAATGAGTGAAAAGGGTTAGATTTGAGGACCTGTTTAGCATGGCCTACTGCAGTGCTCCTCCATTCTTTAGTTCTGATGGTTGGGTAAGATCAGTTTTGCAAGAATTTTGGAGATGCT